ACCTACATAGCTAATGTAAGAATCTATGCAAGTATTCACTTATTGAGTTATAACTACTGGCTGGCACTGTACTAGACTCTGAGGATATACTGAAATAGGGACAGGAATCCTAGCCTGACATGCTGAGAAAGAAAATTATAAATTGATGCAAAGCTATTTGAGATACTTTATATATCAAATGCCTGGTGCAGTGTCACTGAAATGTAGCTGTTAAATTGCTACATTAATTTTATTCTACTCCTTTTTCCATTCCCTCTTCCCAAGTTTTGTTTGTTCTTTATTGTAGTCCCAATGACTACAACCTAGTCTGTATCCAGCACGTATTGAATAGTCAACAATGAAACCTAAATATCAAGTATTTATTGTGTGCCAAACACCTCACCTTATTGTGTGAGATTGTATTAACTCAATCCTCACAACAACCCCGAGGTCAGTACTTGAATCATCCTCATTTTACAGATTACTAAACTGAGGTACAGGTTATGTAACGTGCCCGAAATTAAGGTCAACACCTAGTGAAGAGGGCGCTAGGATTCACATCTGTGTAGCTTGAGCCTACACTGCCTCGTTGCATTATTAATAAGTCGGTGAATGAATAAGCTAAGTAACAGTACCATAGAAGGGACCTACGTGTAGGGCTTCCTAAGAATGCTCTTTTTCATGAATGACAAATAGTATGTTTAAAGTGAAATTTAAATTTGTCACTGCTCATCGGAATAACATGTGGGGCGACAGAAGAGCAATTACACAACTGACTCACACGTGGTTTGCACCACGTCATCCGAATCTCGATACTCTGATCATCCACCTACCAACTATCTAACAAAGTCGCCTGTATCAAGCGCTGAGCGAACTCCACTCGCGGTTTGGACTGGAGCAGAAGGAACGGGAATCCGCACCCCGGGAAGGTTTCAGGCCGGACGCCTCATACCGGCGTGCCCCACAGGCCCAGGCAACCACGCTTCCAGGCCAGCGCCCAGGAGCGCGTGTGCCAGTCGCCGCCCGGAAGCGCGGCGAGCACGTTGCATGCTGGGAGTTGTAGGCTCCCGGCCCCGGCCCGCGGGCTGCGGTCCGCCTTTCATGAGGCTGCCGTCTCTGGCCCGCGCGGCACGA